CCCTCCCCCTCCTATCCCATGTCCTAAACCTTGTATAAGCCTTGGATTGTTTTTGCGAAAATCGAAGATGAATGTGTACTTCTTTTATCTTAACAAATTTCGACCGAAGCTTAAGCGCTGCTACAAAGTTTTCAATGTTTTGAATTTAATCTCCCTTAAATGAACTCGTTTCAGCCGCGAACAACCAGAAAGCTTTGTTTGTCAAAATTCAAGGTCATACCTAGATCTAAATCCAGTCCTTATCCAAACCTCTTTCGGTCAAATGAGACTTCTACCGTTGCCAACATTAAGCTCGCCTTAATTAATCTTATGACTCAGGGCAAGTCAAACTGTGTCATATTGGATATACAGTCGACGTTTCTGCGCTTGTAATGAAAGTCAGTGTGAAAATCCAAGTGAAATTGTAAATGAACCTGGAGCAACGTGCTCACGTCGCTCTCTGAATCTTTTGCATAAATTTAAGTCAGTTATGAATTGAATTGCGAAAGCAATACGCCAGCGAATGCACCGATACAGTGGGAAGTTTAGTATAAAAATGCTGTTATTAATAGGAAAATCGTAAATGGAAAGACTATGTATTTTAAGTCAGCTTTCATTGCTTTCTCAGCTTTATAAGTGAGACGAAATCTTGAGCGATCGAGTCTCATCTCGCAGTCCCTTATGGAATCGTTACTGGGGACGATATGACCTCTCATCTTTGGTTTTGTCCCCAGTAACGGTCCCACAAGCCACTGCATGCATGACTAGACTCGCCCCAGATTTCTTCTAGTTTTTTAAGCGGCGATCTCAGTGGAAATCAAAACAACAAAACTTGGAAAACGTCAGTCCGCACAATGGTGCAGAATGTAACCCTTTAGTGTAAATACCATTATCATAGATGTAGAAGCCCTATAATTACAGCTACATAAGGATACTAAGGGCTCCCCGTTTAGGAAAAACGAATTCTTCTTTCCATCCCCTCCCCTACTCATCTATAACTTAACCCTATCGACGGGTAGGCTAACTGTTGAGAAGGGCTAGAGTATGTGTATAACTGATCTTGGCTAAGATCATCGTCCTAAACTCCGTTTTCAATCTCCTCCAATCATGTCTCTTGTTCGTTTTTTGGCTAATTTATATTTTCGAGCAGTTTCTTTAGAATCAAAGAAAATTCGCGAAAAAAAAATACCTCGAGGTAGGACTGCCATTCCTCTTTAAAATCTACCCTAATAAAATACATCTGAAAAGGGAAAAGCCTCACAGAACCTAAACAAATAACTGCTATTTTTATTATGATAAAAATAGCCTTATCAGTAGTTTATAATTCATTACGTTGATTATTCGACCTTACCGTCCGTGCAAATGACTCCTGCTAATTTATTGCTTTTACTACACGTTGCGTTTTCCAATGGATCCTGTTGACAGTTGTAAATGGAGATCTCGTCCACTCGACAAATCACGCCAGACATGATGACTCTGAGATTTGTGGCACCGAAATAGTTCTGCGTAACAGCATGGCTCCCATATCCGAGATTCAACTGTCGACATACCACCATCGCTTCTTCTATTCGCCAGTTATCAGCGCAAATAGTCCCCCATCTGCCACCGTGAAAAACTTCAACACGGCCCTCGTAAGAGTTCAGACCACCCCTAAGCCGAATCTGGGAGACAACAAAGAAAGCTTGTAAATTAGGCCTTGTTGGTTAATTCTTTGGTTGGGAGCCTTGACTTCTTTCCCAACAGTGTGCGGCATGTGGAAGTGAGGGTAGACTACGAGTAGTCCCTCTTTTACCTAGTCCGTCGTGCGTGACGCGAAAGAAAACCGCGAGAAAAAAATGACCGCGCGAAATCCTGGCGGCGACGAGTGCGCGAAAGGAGGCCCTCCTCCTTTCACACGCTCCTCGCCTCCAGGATTTCGCGCGGCCATTTTTGTCTCGCGGTTTTCTTTCAGTCACGCACGACGGACTAAGCGAAAGAAGGACTACTCGTAGTCTAAAGTGAGGGTGATTGCGGGTGTATATCCCCTTTTAAGACAAAATCCTCTTTTCCCGCAATCATCTTTTTGCGCGCGAAATTGGTAGTTAAGCCTTTACGATAACTCCTCCTACATAAGTAACAGGCGAAAAGAGAAACTTCAAAAATGTAGTACGGCAGATTATGCTCATACATGCGTTTGATCTTATGTCATTTTCTTGGCGAGGGCGGGCATGGGGAGGAACATGGTAGCCGTCGTCACGTGACATCGAATTTTTTTTACAATAATTCCGTATTGTTGAAAACGTTGCGAGATCTATACGTGCAGTGGTTATTACCGGATGGCCTTGGAGCTTTGGTGCATGACATTTGACGCCAACGTCCTCGTAATGATTACACTCTGATCTGCGCCATCCCCGGTGTTTACACTGACTGATGTTCCTCTCAACTCCTTGACAGCGGACGTCATGTAGTATGATCTGAATAGTGGATAAAAGGTTAGACCACTTAAATGTTCGAGCGGCAAACATAATTTTAGTTGCCATTTGGTTGAAATTTTAATTCTTCTGCCCTTCCTCTGGCACAATACCGTAGAACTGAAAAGTAAAGCTTTTTCCGACAGTTTTGATTGGATGTTTTTCTCTCAAGCTGTTTCCATCTTATTTATTGTATAGTTCAGTTAATAAGATATATGAAACTTTTGTTCCACGCTCAGGGATTCAAACAGCATAATGAATACTATACTTTACTAAACGACTTTTTTTTATAATAAAGGCAAGGCAGTACCACTAACTCTTTTCCAACCTTGATGTTAATTTTTTTTCAGCCTATTCCAGACCAAATACAGTGTAAAATTCAAACACTTTCTTTTGTGGTAAAAATAAAACACTTTTCCACTGGAGATCGTTTTACCTGTCCAATTCCTCTTCCGAAGAACGCATTCTTTGCTGCTATTGCCGCTGACCCATAACCTAAGGACCTGCAGACCACGTTAGCTTCTCTCAAGGTCCAGTGGTCGTCACATATCGTTCCCCAGCTGTCACGGAGCCTTACTTCTACTCTTCCTTCGGACACCAAGGTCCCGCTACGAAGTCGCACCTCTGGAGTCTAAAATATAAAAGTTAAGTTAAGTTGAAATAAACAACAACTTCGAACTGGTCATGGTCTCTGAAACTGTACCACACAAAGTGGCGTCACAAGTCACGTGACAAACGCGGATGCAAGATCATGAAATATTTCGGGAGGATCTAGACAATCGTATCGTGTGGGGAAACAAAATTGAATTTTAAACACCAGATTGATTTCTTTTACTTTTCATTTCCAAGATGCACAACTTCCATATCAAAAACAGTTCTTCTCATATATTTATTTCGATGCAAACGAAAATCGTTTAAATATAAAAGGTATAAACGAGCTTCATATTAAAATAGAGGCAAAGAAACTTGGAATTGACGTCCAGCTTCAGAAGACTTACGTTTGTAATACTTTTGCGCGCGCATTTGATCTTCAGTGCTCCTCCTCCTTCACACTGGTGACGAACCCATCCCGCATGGTCACATGACACGATCGATGACTCCCATCCTTTACACGTCACATGGTCCAGCCAATAGACGGGCTCCACATCCTGAATAGTCTCTTTGTAAGACTCTAGTTCCGTGGAATTCGGGAATCCAAGCTCACCACACAACAAGTAGGAGTTCACATGTTTCCAGTTTGAAGGACAAATGTAACCCCACTTTCCCTCATGTTCCACTTGAACGATGCCTTCAGATATGTAGTCATCGACAACCGGGCCTTGTAACTTTAATTTCACGCTTAGAACCTAAGTTGAACCAGAATTTATCAAGCAATATATGCAGCGGTTTATGTAGCGTTAACTGTTGTTGCGGTTTATGCAAATGAGATCTAAAACTGGTTGACTTTTTACAATTCCATTCACAAGAGAATGGAAATAGGGCGTGGCAGAGAAAGAAGGAAGAGGGTTCAAGCAGAAATAAACATCTCTATCTCCCCATCCCATTCCCCTTTTATTCGTGTTTTGCAAATTATCTCCGTTTTCACTTCTCGTCTAATTCTTACTGCACAGTGATTAAGAAATTTTTCCAATATGTCTGCATCGGGCCTAAGGCTGAAAAGGTTAAAAAACTGATAGTTCTTTGTCCACAAGGCTTTAGGCTGGCCAAAATAGCCTAAAACCTTTGAAAGCCATTTCTTCCTTTTCCTTCGACTCACCTCACCGCTGGCTGGTGATGGCTCCGGTCCAAACAGCACATCACTTCGATGAAGCTTACATATAACACCAGCTTGATTGGTTGAGCGACAGTTGTGTCGTCCCCAGTCTCTATGAGAACATCGTTCAATGTCGTATTCTCGTCCACCGCAATTGACGTCATCTAACCAAAAGTGTCCATCACCACGACCAAAGGCAGTGTGTCTTTAAACATGATAAATGCGACGTTATTTTAATAAAAACACTCAAATAAACATTTAGAAATTCTGTAGACTGAATTGAAATACATCTGGCTTCTGTGGAACAAAATGTCATTTATTGAAGAATTATGACGTAGCTGTTCATGAGTGAATGGTTCATGGTGAATGCTGCCGATCGATCGCGCTCGTGGATATGAAATTCTGCATGCAGCCCTCGTTAATGTAATGTTAATTCTAATATAATCACTAATTCTATTCAAGGCATCCCATTTTCAAATTTTCTCATATCTTGTTATTTAAGAGCAAATTAGCGTGATTCCGTAAGCAATATCTCAGTTATCACTATCAGTGGTTTCAGACTTCATTAATCCTTTTTTCCTTGGAGGTGATTTCATAAAAGTTAGATGGTCGAATAACATTTGATTAATTTTCTTTCCCTAGCGTGAGATTCCTTGCGTGAACGTCACACACTGGAAAATAATAAAGCTTACCTAGCAAGCCGATGATGATCTCTAATAACCTAAAGACACCCACTTACCCTTTGGTAAAGCGCAACGCGTCTGGAAATCCAAGCATACGACAAACCACATCAGCGGCTTTCATATTCCATCCATGATCACAAACCGCTTTCCATTCCTCGTCGTATTTCACCTCGACTCTGCCTTCATATGAGTGCTTTCCTCCCACTAGTCGCACCTCAGAGCCACTTACAAGTCTTGCGCTCAACAGGAATGCAGCAAGCAGAAAACACGACATCTTGAGTCGATTTCTGTCGTGTTGAAATGCCAGAATTCCACTCCCTTAGCACCTTGTCGTTCGTGTCGTCTGGAGACCTTCTAAGCGGCAGTTTGAAGGTACAATAAGATTGTTTTTTAACCCGCGTCTTGAATGCGCGCGATGATTATAATAGTGTGAGAACAGAGGTCTTCTGTTTGGTGGAATCAATGTAGTCCATTGATATCTATCTTAACCTGAAGTATCATTTCCATCGTTTCCCACAGGTCAAAGTTATCTTATCTACATATTAAACTATGAAAGAGAGATTCCAGACAAAACAAATGCCCTCTGTAGAGCTTTGCGTACAAATCTTTGCTGCTGTAAAAGCTAACGAGGTGTTAAGGCGGTGTACTAAAGTGGTGGAATGTTATTAAGGGCGAGAAATGCTAATGTGACAAGATGGCGTTATTTTTGATGTGGTAAAAATAATCATGTCCTATGATGATTTGGTCATAAAGGAATCTTTTATCACGTCGACTGATTGTCACGCAATAGCCTACAGACAGGTTGAGCGCGAAGCACGAACACAGGTGCGGAGAGCGACAGCGAGGCTACAATAGACTACAAGTAGTCCCTCTTTCGATTAGTCCGTCGCGCGTAACGCGAAAGAAAACTGCGAGAAAAAAATGACCACCAAAAAATGGCCGCGCGAAAGCCTTGGGGCGAGGAGCTTCCCTTTCGCGTGCTCCTCGCCCCCAGTATTTCGCGCGGCCATTTTTTTTTTTCGCGGTTTTCTTTCGCGTCACACACGACGGACTAAGCGCAAGAGGGACTACTCGTAGTCTACAGCGAGGCGCGCTACTATGCTTTTCATTGCTTCTTTTTCGCGCACGATCGCGCTCGTGTATCGTCTACTTTCCAACTAAATCACCTGCTCTACAAGTTATCACGAAAAGCCTAACTCTACAAGCTACCTTGTTCCATTTAAATTAGAATCTATTACATTTAGGCAGTTCGCCAAATTAACAAAATGCTGGTGTGTTCGCTTGTATGGGATTTTGAACTGGCATTAAGATGGAATATCTTTGTTTGTGACATTTGTTTTCAACAACTATTATATCTGAATATCAAAAGTATGGATCTGTGTTTACAACATTAGCAAGAAGTGACGCGGGTTTAAAAATGCAAAATTTTACAATCACATGTATGTCTCAATATTGCATTTCCACCCAGATATTTTGAGGCTTTATGTCCTTCAAAATGATACCCAAAGTTCTAAAAAATTGCAAAAATGACCAAATTTCTCAATCAATTTGTATCTAGCTTTGTGCCTCCTCTAGTCAACCCCATATGCCATACCTGAAGAGACCACAAGCTCTGTCCGGAGCGGTCCTCAGGGTCCTTGATCAGCGAGTGGTCAGCAGCGACTTCCCGCTGACCAAGAAACCTAAGGACTCTGTTTTGGATATGAGGAAAGAAGTCGAGCGTGGCAAGAGGTCGTGATTTTGAGTGCTGGCCAGATGAACCGGCGCTTCTGGGGACAAGATTGGGTGACTGACTTTTCGACAACCTGAACATGCTAGGCCAGCAGCCCCATCGAGCAGTTAGCCTTAAAATTCTACCTTGAGATCTAAAGATTAGCGTCCGGGCCGTCACGACGTCAGCCATCCAGAAGAGACCTCACCCCTCAACTGAACAATCACAACCACCCAGCACTAGTATCACTATAAACAACTTTTACTTAACTTTTATTTACAAGAACTCAAAAAAAGCTATAATAAAAGCAAATAGATATATGTATAACACGAAATTATTCATGTAGTTGAGGGCAGATTGTCAAAGAGAACGAAATATGCTCAAACATTAAAATAAAATAAATACTTAAATTAAATTTTGTTTATTCTTATTTTCCCTGTAAAGTTCAAGTTTCAAATGAATTGGACAGACATTTTGAGGTTCGAAACAGGGACTTAAATAAACGGATAACTATGATACAGTGGTACAGTCAGACTTTGTACCCACGTACCGCCCGGTTTCTAGATGCGCTGGCGAGTTCAGAACACGACCATTGGAGGTGGTAATATGGAGTCAACCGTGGGACCCAGTCTCCCCTGGGGGAGTGGTTTACCAAAGTTCACGTCGGTTGACCGTAAAAAGAACGAATGTTAATGATACTCTGCTATTCGATGCATCCTAGCTCGGATGTCTTACGTCTATAACCACATTACAAGGACACAGTTTTTAGTGCGGTTATAAAATATGTAAACTGGACAATGCCTGATTCCTATACAAGAGAAAATACCCAAGTGGACAAGGCCTCAACTAGCCATTTCCAAGGTTACCAAAACCCCACAGAATATGAGATCGCCATTCTTTGTGATGAAGTTTACCTAAAGTTCCACTCCCTTTGTAATACTCAAAACTGAGCAAAAGAAAAGAGAGAAACGCCCTGGAGGAAAAAAATTCTGGCCTGAATAATATTCCGTTAATCGAAACACAGTCCCCACTTTCGGTTTTTTCTGAAATCATAGGTGGTGGCGCACCATTTTTTCCTGTATCCATCCATTGTACAGCCGTGATAGAGTTTACCATTGAACTTGAACGGAAATACGCAGCAGCTGCCCCCAGAATTGCCGCCATGAGTGTCGAGCCCGCTTTCGCAGTCGTCTGCAAGAAAGAGAGTCTGAGGTGTTATATATGTTATTATACAGCTATTGGGATGCAAGGTGTAAACATACTTTAAATTTGTTCACTTAAAACAGAAAAACAAAGAAGTAATTTAATTTTAGAGAATAAACTAGATCCGAGATTGCCAACTATCTTTTTGTTCCTTTTTTCGCTAGACTTAATTTTCGCGATTTTCGCGATTTAAAAAAAGGGTTTTAGCGAAAATTAACCTTGTGAAATTTAATACCCTGCTATATATTTCTTTAATCAACGTTAACGTCGGTTTACTTCATAATTATCCTTTCCATGTTCTCTATTTAAGTTTCAATGTTCGAGCTCCTTTCGTCTGATCATGAATCAAAATGATCTTCTTGCGGCAGTTCTTTTAAGATATTCTTGGTGTAGTGGTCAAACAATCCATTCCTATCTGGTTCCTTGTAACTCGTCACGACAAGCTGTTTATACTTGTTAAATATTTCTCTGTGAGCGAAAGTGAGTGATACACACAGGGAGAGGCGCTTGATAGAAACTTCTTGCAGGCTTAGGAAGGAATATCAGGGGAACACCTACATGTAGACGAGCCTGCAGTGAAGCCGCATGTGTCACGTGATTAGTCTATACCGGCGTCGCGCCTGTCGACTGTCTGTAACGCAGGCTTTCCTAAACTAAAGATTACTCACAAGGAGGTAGTTTATTGAGGTCAGACTTACCAATCCAACACTTGTTGCAAATAAGGTAATTGCCATAATCATACACGGAGCATTTGGCAACGTTGTTCTTGAAATCTGACTCGGCCACTTGGTTGCCAGGGTTCAGGTGGACTTGGAGGTAAAAACCACCGTGCACGAAGTCACTAACATCCACCCACTGACAGTCGATATTGTAGTAATAAATGTCGTAACACCCGGGAGATATCCCTTGATCACCCCGGTCCGTACAGTTCCATACTTGCTCAAACCCAGGGTCGCACTTGGTGTCCTCCAAACAAAAGCTGGCCTTGTGTCCGTCGGCAACCTTAACCCCAGTGTCCCGACCTACAAAGTGAAAACGTAAGGTGTATTTATTCTCAAAGTTCATCACAGCTGATATGTAACGCAAGCTGCAGGATAAAGTGACAAAGTGCATTGCTTATCCCCCTGAATGGGATGCCACTCAATCCCGTAATGCATCCTAGCGTCAGTTTAATAGGTTTCCTCAACAGTTCTCCGCTGCTGAACACACCTGACCCGCTTTAGGTGAAGAAAGGCTATGAGAAAGAAAAGCGTCCTGTTTAAGAACAAACAGCACAACAACCGCCGCTCCTTCAAAACAAAGTAGTGTTTTGGAATATTTTCCAACGTTCCTTAGAGATATGGTAATCCGGGTGGTAACCTTTCAAATCATATCGCACAGTTTAAGTACCAATCAGTGATTTCTTTTAATCGTGAGCCATGCTTGGTGGTCCCATTATCACTAAAGCTCAAGCCGCTACGCGTAAAGTCTTCGCTTTAAAAAAAAATTGTACAAAAGAGAAAAGGTCATGTAGGCCAGGGAGAATTATCAGCTATTTCCAAAACTACCAGATAGGGATCTTCAGAGTATTCAATCTGTTTCCGATCTGCTCTACGGTACCGTGTCTTTGTTTGCCTTAAATAGCACGTAGAATTAGCCCGCGAGAGAAAAGTTCATTTATCTTCAATTCCGCTTGTCCATCTGTCTGTCTGTATATTAGCTCTGTCAGCCTCTCAGTTGATTAGTTAATCATCACTTGATCATTTAGTCAGTTTACTAAAGGACTGTCGGTCAATCAGTCAGTTGGTCGGTCAGCCAGTCAGTCATTCAGTCAGTCAGTCAGTCAGTTAGTCAGTCAGCCCTCAGTCATTCATACTCCTGTACCAGATTCAGTTATTTAGTCATTCAGTTACTCTCAATAGTCACTCCGTCAATTGCACTCTCCTTGTTTCTGTTCACCTGTCCGTTCGACACTTTACTATTGTACTTACGAATGAGATCATATGAGGAGAAAGTCTCCATAGAATGGTAGTGCTGATGGCATTTGTGCCATTGCCAAGTTGACTTGTCAGCTTTTGGTCTAAAGTGATCCAGTCCTCTGTTTTCAACTTTCACGCTGAATCTAAGCAGTCGCCTTAGGGTCGCGTCTGAATATCTGGAACCGAAATAAGGAGATAAAGTGAAGCTCCGATATAACGAGGTGACAAAGGACTTGGAAATCGTCGTAACAGGCCAAGGTTCCCAATACTGGGTTCTGTAACATACATTCCTACCCTTAGTAACCTGGCCGGGACGAAATAATTTGTTTACGTAATTGGCCATTTCCGAGTTACCTTGTGCCTCTGTTTCAAAACGAGGCCTCGCGCAAAACCGTTCACATGGAAATGAGTTTGATTTGCATGAAAATGAACCTGTAGGGGGAAAGAATTTCCTACAAATGGTTTCGCACGAAGACTCATTTTGACACAGAGGCAAAAGGCAACTTGAAAATGCCCTTTTTACGATAACTAAAGAAATTCTCGCGCGCTCATTGGCTAATCTTCATTGTCAATAAGCGGACAGACACATGAATTTATAATTTATGCGATGCGTCAAACGAGCGAGAGCGGACATTTTTTGACAATTTGTTATCGTAAAAAACAAATTAACGTCAGTTTTCTGCGTCTGTCCTCTCATTGATCATGAAATTCGTCATAACATTGTCAAAGTAGCTGTGGATCCACGAGGCGATAGCCGAGTCGATCCGCAGACTACTTTGACAATGTTATGACGAAATTCATTGTCAATAACAGGACAGACGCATGAAAAACTGACACCAATTTGTTAAATTGTAAATTGTAAATGGGAGGGGCAGGGGTTCATTATATTGGGGTTCTTTAGCATTATTCATATTACGGCCAGAAAAACAAGGGTGATGGAAAAACGTAAAATTCATAGTTAATGACAAACATGAGGTAGGCATCCTGATATCTTACGAATACAGTATTTGCATGAGCAAGCCCTGATATTCACCCGAGTGCAAGGGCTCAAAACACAAAACACACACATATTTACCTTAGCTGACCTGCCGCNTTGATTTGCATGAAAATGAACCTGTAGGGGGAAAGAATTTCCTACGAATGGTTTCGCACGAAGACTTGTTTTGACACAGAGGCAAAAGGCAACTTGAAAATGCCCTTTTTACGATAACTACAGAAATTCTCGCGCGCTCATTGGCTAATCTTCATTGTCAATAAGCGGACAGACACATGAATTTATGATTTATGCGATGCGTCAAACGAGCGAGAGCGGACATTTTTTGACGATTTGTTATCGTAAAAAACAAATTCACGTCAGTTTTCATGTGTCTGTCCTGTCATTGATCATGAAATTCGTCATAACATCGTCAAAGTAGCTGTGGATCCACGAGGCCATAGCCGAGTCGATTCGCAGACTACTTTGACAATGTTATGACTAAATTCATTGTCAATAACAGGACAGACGCATGAAAAAGTGACGTCAATTTGTTAAATTGTAAATTGTAAATGGGAGGGGCCGGGGTTCATTATATTGGGGTTCTTTAGCATTGTTCATATTACGGCCAGATAAACAAGGGTGATGGAAAAACGTAAAATTCATAGTTAGTGACAAACATGAGGGAGGCATCCTGATATCTTACGAATACAGTATTTGCATGAGAAAGCTCTGATATTCACCCGAGTGCAAGGGCTCAAAACACAAAACACACACATATTTACCTTAGCTGACCTGCCGCACTTTTAGAGAGACAATTTTCTTCCATGGCGCACCTCAAGCTATATAAAGGAAGCATATTCATTTCCATGTGGCCTCTGAGAAGATCAGTATCGAGAACAAGATCCGGCAAAGCTGAGGAAGGAAAAATGAATTTCAACGCTGAAAGCTAGCTACGGAAAAATTACCTTTTGAAATGTGGCCGTTCGAACACAAGTAGGTATTTCCACAGGCGACAGTTAAACGNGTAAAGGAGTGGAGACCAAAAGTTGTAGTTTTAGGTTTGGGCATTTCCAGTATATAGTTTCCACGCATGTTGTATGAAGTAGAACGGAACGAGAACATGAAATTCAGTTAGAATTCCACTAAAACAATTAGATTATTCGCTCTCGATTTCTATGAGGCGATAGTTGATAAGGCCGCAGGCCTCATCAACTATCACCTCATAGGAATCTCGAGCTCATAATCTAATTGTTAAATAGAAACACGAGTGAAAGTTTGGGAGAACGAGAAATGTTGTGGGAACACGAGCCGACAGGCGAGTATTTCCACAGCTTTTTCGAGTTCTGCCAAATCTCCACGAGTGTTTGCAGAACTTCTACATCATTTAATGGCAAACGTTTTCAGACCCGTGTAAAAAAAATGGACTCATCTCACCATTAACACAAATAACGCCTGCTGATTTCTTCTTCCTGCTGCACGTGGCATTCTCCCACTCATCATGCTCACAGTTGTAAATAGAGATCTCGTCCACTCTACATTTAACCCCAGACATGATTACTTCAAGGTCCGTTTCGCTGAAGTTACTCTGGGTAACAGCATCACTGGCATAGCCGAGATTCAGCTGTCGACAAACTGTCATGGCTTCCTCTATGCCCCATTCATCACCACAAACAGTTCCCCATTTGCCATCATGGAAGACTTCAACCCGTCCCTCGAAAGGATTTGCGCCACCTCGAATGCGAACCTACCGTAGTTAAATAATTAAAAAAATACTTAATACTCTGCTTACAAATGTACTTTTGTCAGCAGAAGTTCAAAAAGGGGGCAACGTATATTCTTTCGAAAAACCCGTCTTACATAATTCATCAATTCCGCAGTTTTCATCAGAATTGTTTCTTTGAAACATGAAGTATTCCTAGATGCAACAAACTGGTGCCTTTATTAACCTTGTCACTGTTGTATACCTCATGCCCCTGAAGTGGTGGTACGTGACATTTGACACTCGCGTCTTCATGATGATCACAATCTGAGATGCGCCAGGCCCGGTGCTTGCACTGCCAGATATTCCTCTCTGATCCCCTGCAGACAACTTCATCAAGAAGAACCTACGGCGGAGAGAATGATGATTAAGCTATTGACATCTCTACCACTACTAAACGATGGAGACTCAAATAAATCAGCTTTAGGGACCGTTTGTTCCCGAAGTTCTGTTTAGACACGCACGAGGCAGCTTCACCTAAAGTATAACTAAACTAAGGGGCCTATCCATTGGCCAATAATAGGTGTTGTTGGTATTCTCGGTGTTGGACTGGCACTAGCTTGCAATGGTGGCTCATGTGGGGAAATATCAATAAAAAGAGATAAATGTCATTTGCATTTGAAAAGACTCCTCGCATTAGCCTCAGTTGCAAGCTAGTTCCAGCCCAACACCGGGAATACGAATATGGCCAATTCGATTACGGTAAGGGCTATAATGAAAGAAGTTGGTCCCGATCTTCAGGAACACTAACTTGTTCTGCTAGTTGAAAGATCAGCCAACAAATCTGCGATTGTGCCAAATATGAAAAAAGCTTAGTTTAGCTTCTCTACAAACTAACTTGGGCCACGCAAGTACGTATATAATTTGTAAGTGAAGCAAGAACTAGAGAGTGAAGCAAACAGTTAAGNGTTTTTTCTGAAATCATAGGTGGTGGCGCACCATTTTTTCCTGTATCCATCCATTGTACAGCCGTGATAGAGTTTACCATTGAACTTGAACGGAAATACGCAGCAGCTGCCCCCAGAATTGCCGCCATGAGTGTCGAGCCCGCTTTCGCAGTCGTCTGCAAGAAAGAGAGTCTGAGGTGTTATATATGTTATTATACAGCTATTGGGATGCAAGGTGTAAACATACTTTAAATTTGTTCACTTAAAACAGAAAAACAAAGAAGTAATTTAATTTTAGAGAATAAACTAGATCCGAGATTGCCAACTATCTTTTTGTTCCTTTTTTCGCTAGACTTAATTTTCGCGATTTTCGCGATTTAAAAAAAGGGTTTTAGCGAAAATTAACCTTGTGAAATTTAATACCCTGCTATATATTTCTTTAATCAACGTTAACGTCGGTTTACTTCATAATTATCCTTTCCATGTTCTCTATTTAAGTTTCAATGTTCGAGCTCCTTTCGTCTGATCATGAATCAAAATGATCTTCTTGCGGCAGTTCTTTTAAGATATTCTTGGTGTAGTGGTCAAACAATCCATTCCTATCTGGTTCCTTGTAACTCGTCACGACAAGCTGTTTATACTTGTTAAATATTTCTCTGTGAGCGAAAGTGAGTGATACACACAGGGAGAGGCGCTTGATAGAAACTTCTTGCAGGCTTAGGAAGGAATATCAGGGGAACACCTACATGTAGACGAGCCTGCAGTGAAGCCGCATGTGTCACGTGATTAGTCTATACCGGCGTCGCGCCTGTCGACTGTCTGTAACGCAGGCTTTCCTAAACTAAAGATTACTCACAAGGAGGTAGTTTATTGAGGTCAGACTTACCAATCCAACACTTGTTGCAAATAAGGTAATTGCCATAATCATACACGGAGCATTTGGCAACGTTGTTCTTGAAATCTGACTCGGCCACTTGGTTGCCAGGGTTCAGGTGGACTTGGAGGTAAAAACCACCGTGCACGAAGTCACTAACATCCACCCACTGACAGTCGATATTGTAGTAATAAATGTCGTAACACCCGGGAGATATCCCTTGATCACCCCGGTCCGTACAGTTCCATACTTGCTCAAACCCAGGGTCGCACTTGGTGTCCTCCAAACAAAAGCTGGCCTTGTGTCCGTCGGCAACCTTAACCCCAGTGTCCCGACCTACAAAGTGAAAACGTAAGGTGTATTTATTCTCAAAGTTCATCACAGCTGATATGTAACGCAAGCTGCAGGATAAAGTGACAAAGTGCATTGCTTATCCCCCTGAATGGGATGCCACTCAATCCCGTAATGCATCCTAGCGTCAGTTTAATAGGTTTCCTCAACAGTTCTCCGCTGCTGAACACACCTGACCCGCTTTAGGTGAAGAAAGGCTATGAGAAAGAAAAGCGTCCTGTTTAAGAACAAACAGCACAACAACCGCCGCTCCTTCAAAACAAAGTAGTGTTTTGGAATATTTTCCAACGTTCCTTAGAGATATGGTAATCCGGGTGGTAACCTTTCAAATCATATCGCACAGTTTAAGTACCAATCAGTGATTTCTTTTAATCGTGAGCCATGCTTGGTGGTCCCATTATCACTAAAGCTCAAGCCGCTACGCGTAAAGTCTTCGCTTTAAAAAAAAATTGTACAAAAGAGAAAAGGTCATGTAGGCCAGGGAGAATTATCAGCTATTTCCAAAACTACCAGATAGGGATCTTCAGAGTATTCAATCTGTTTCCGATCTGCTCTACGGTACCGTGTCTTTGTTTGCCTTAAATAGCACGTAGAATTAGCCCGCGAGAGAAAAGTTCATTTATCTTCAATTCCGCTTGTCCATCTGTCTGTCTGTATATTAGCTCTGTCAGCCTCTCAGTTGATTAGTTAATCATCACTTGATCATTTAGTCAGTTTACTAAAGGACTGTCGGTCAATCAGTCAGTTGGTCGGTCAGCCAGTCAGTCATTCAGTCAGTCAGTCAGTCAGTTAGTCAGTCAGCCCTCAGTCATTCATACTCCTGTACCAGATTCAGTTATTTAGTCATTCAGTTACTCTCAATAGTCACTCCGTCAATTGCACTCTCCTTGTTTCTGTTCACCTGTCCGTTCGACACTTTACTATTGTACTTACGAATGAGATCATATGAGGAGAAAGTCTCCATAGAATGGTAGTGCTGATGGCATTTGTGCCATTGCCAAGTTGACTTGTCAGCTTTTGGTCTAAAGTGATCCAGTCCTCTGTTTTCAACTTTCACGCTGAATCTAAGCAGTCGCCTTAGGGTCGCGTCTGAATATCTGGAACCGAAATAAGGAGATAAAGTGAAGCTCCGATATAACGAGGTGACAAAGGACTTGGAAATCGTCGTAACAGGCCAAGGTTCCCAATACTGGGTTCTGTAACATACATTCCTACCCTTAGTAACCTGGCCGGGACGAAATAATTTGTTTACGTAATTGGCCATTTCCGAGTTACCTTGTGCCTCTGTTTCAAAACGAGGCCTCGCGCAAAACCGTTCACATGGAAATGAGTTTGATTTGCATGAAAATGAACCTGTAGGGGGAAAGAATTTCCTACAAATGGTTTCGCACGAAGACTCATTTTGACACAGAGGCAAAAGGCAACTTGAAAATGCCCTTTTTACGATAACTAAAGAAATTCTCGCGCGCTCATTGGCTAATCTTCATTGTCAATAAGCGGACAGACACATGAATTTATAATTTATGCGATGCGTCAAACGAGCGAGAGCGGACATTTTTTGACAATTTGTTATCGTAAAAAACAAATTAACGTCAGTTTTCTGCGTCTGTCCTCTCATTGATCATGAAATTCGTCATAACATTGTCAAAGTAGCTGTGGATCCACGAGGCGATAGCCGAGTCGATCCGCAGACTACTTTGACAATGTTATGACGAAATTCATTGTCAATAACAGGACAGACGCATGAAAAACTGACACCAATTTGTTAAATTGTAAATTGTAAATGGGAGGGGCAGGGGTTCATTATATTGGGGTTCTTTAGCATTATTCATATTACGGCCAGAAAAACAAGGGTGATGGAAAAACGTAAAATTCATAGTTAATGACAAACATGAGGTAGGCATCCTGATATCTTACGAATACAGTATTTGCATGAGCAAGCCCTGATATTCACCCGAGTGCAAGGGCTCAAAACACAAAACACACACATATTTACCTTAGCTGACCTGCCGCACTTTTAGAGAGACAATTTTCTTCCATGGCGCACCTCAAGCTATATAAAGGAAGCATATTCATTTCCATGTGGCCTCTGAGAAGATCAGTATCGAGAACAAGATCCGGCAAAGCTGAGGAAGGAAAAATGAATTTCAACGCTGAAAGCTAGCTACGGAAAAATTACCTTTTGAAATGTGGCCGTTCGAACACAAGTAGGTATTTCCACAGGCGACAGTTAAACGAATAATTTCGAGTCACTGCGAACTACGACGAGTGGTCACGAAGGTTCACGACTTAAACTGCGTCAAAATTTGCTGCTGGCGTAACTTATATATATAAATTATTATTATGTAAGAAATAGAAAACATGTACCATGTTTCTATCGAGTTTTAATATAAATCTACCGGCGTTCTATCACGAATATCGCTCTCACTCACTATCTATTCTGTAATAGATAGTGAGAAGCGTAGCAGTGTGCGCTTGTTAACAAAATGACGGCCGCTTTTTGGCAATTTCGAAGTGTCTGTGAAGATGATTTAGGTCAGGTTTTGAACGACTAGTATAAATTTGTACTAAAACAATTAGATTATTCGCTCTCGATTTCTATGCGTGATAGTTGACTCGAGCTGCACCCTCGTCAACTATCACGCGATAGAAATCTCGAGCTCATAATCTAATTGCTTATTAGTAGAATTCTACTAGTATACTGATGCAAATGCTGCGATCTGATTGGCTGAGCTACTCGTATACTTTCAGTCATTAGAGTGCAGTGTCTGTCAGTCGTCCACAAAATGCGGCGTTTTTATCGTTTTTCCGAAGTTTTGGAAGAACGTTTAGACGTAAATGGATAATTAAATTCCTGAGAAGACTAAAAGAAGGACATCAGCGGTTTCTTGACTTGAAATTATTTCCACCCCGCATGGTCACATGACACAATCGAAGACTCCCATCCTTTACACGTGACTTGGTCCAACCAATAGACGGGCTCCACATCCTGAATGGTCACAGCATCAGACTCAGCGGAGGCCGGGAATCCAAGTTGACCGCAGAGCACGTGCGAGTTAGCGCGTGTCCATTCAGAAGTACAAATATGACCCCACTTTCCTTCGTGTTCCACTTGGACGATACCTTCCGATATGTAATCATTGACAATCGGGCCAATTAACTGAATCTTGACTTTTGAAACCTGAATTACAGGTGAAAAAGAACTAGTGTTGTAACGCAGTTTTGGATTTCACCCACGTAGCTAGATGAAGTGTACAGTACGAGCAATTTCACTTGTTACATTCTCTAAGAGTCGTTAACTAAACTCCAGAAACCTTAACTTTTAGTTTCATCACGATTATTCAGTTTCAGAAATCAAAATGGTGTCGATTCTAAAATTATGGTACTTTTCTGTACGTTTGCATTTACTTTTTACGCACAAAAACGGAAGCATTCATTTAAAATACCAGTGGGCCGGGTTGCTCGGAAGCCGGTTAACGCTAACCCGGGATTAGAAGTCAACCGAAGTGCAATATTTTTTTGCATAAAAATATTTTTCACTGCTTATGTTTTGTGTTGTTTTAGATTATTCAAACTCAAAACGGAGGGCCAAACAATATAAACAGAAAAGCTCACCGCAAAGTTACAAAACTCAAATCAAAATGCTCGCTCACCCTGGGGGCTTTGAACAACCTAGCCCAGCAATAAAGGAAGGTGTTAAGAAGGGGAGATAACAAGGGGTTGTTATCAAGATACTCCATGGGTAGAGTACACAAAGTCATACCTCACCGCTGGCTTTGGAAGGCTTGGGCTCAACAATCACGTCACTCCTGTGCATTCTGCAGATAACTCCAGCTTGATTGTATCTGAGACAGTTGTGTCGGCCCCAGGGCCTGTGGGAGCATTTGTCAATGGACTCCTCGTCTCCAGTGCATTTGACGTCATCAACCCAGAATCTTCCATTCCCATAACCGAAAGCATGTTGCCTTGATAAAAGTAAAATCAGATATCAGCTAACAAGAAAACTCTTCTTTCAGGCTCTTAGTCTCCGTAAATTTCTCTTAAGGACGTTCGCGCGAAAATTTCCCAACATTGATTTTTTCTGAGACTTTTACCACTGTAAGATGATGAGTTAGTTATGTCAGAAATGTAAAAAAATTGGGGGTCACCAACTTCGTTTTGCAGAAAACATGCCTGGAAGAACACCCTKAATCTGAAAAAATCGGGCTTCGTTAGCGAATAAGGCCACAGTGTCTGTAAGCCCAAAAATATTGCAATTAGATCTTTGAAGTGAAATATTCTCTGCCAAATACTGTTTAAGTGAACCTATTAAGTGAATTTAGACAACTGGTGAGGTTCCTTAAAGAGCAAGTTCGCATTTAACGACCATAGTTTCACGCGCCTTGCAGCCGCAAGATGGTAGGATTTCGATGTCCCGTGGACAGAAATCTTGAATTTTTTTTTAACTTCCGACATTGATTTTTTCTTCATTTTTGGACAATGTGAAGATAATTGTAAATAAAATCTGTTTCTGGAAAGAAAAGTAGGGATCACCGAACGTCCAAGATTGTTAAATCCAGGCAAAGCTATAGTAATGGCCATCTGCCCTATCATTGTTCATTTTATTACTTAGCGCGCGGGCTCATGCCTGACGTGACGTGCGAATCTGCGTGCGCAGCAAGGATGCGCAGAAAAAATTAGCGCGAACGTCCTTAATTAGTCGAAATAATTACATATAACAGTAAAACCTGTCAAAAAAACCCTTAATATCAGTTTCAAGTGCTTATAACTCGAAAACCAACAAGATAACCACCACTTTTATTATTGAACAATGATAAAAACTGGTCATTGCATAAAGCAGTTCAAGAGTTTCTATTGGTTTAGCCACCATGAGACTATCTGGTGTATGAGCCATTATGTTATTTGCGTAAAGGGCTCTTTTTACGGAAAACTGTATATATTTGGCGAATTTTCCAATACATACACGAACATCGACCTTTAAGAGGTGTTCTCCTCTAGTTTAAACCATGTGCACTATGTTGTATAATCCTTGATGTTGACAAAATCGTCTTGTAGGACATATGTAACCGACTTATTCCAAAATCGCTGGACAACTGGCTAAACCTATCAGCTTCCTGTACACCAAATTAGGAGGGAAACAGAAGTAACGCGATTTTTGCCAATTTTTTTTTTTCATTTAATGGCGCCATCTGGCCCTATAATTACAGAGCATAACAGAAATGAATTTTAAAGGCTCTGTTTACGGAAAACCGCATTTATTTCGCGAAGTTTCTAGTACAATGCACGAATATCGACCTTTGGGAAGATGTACTCCATCTGCTTAAAGCATGCGCGCTATGTTGCTCAAGGGCTCTGCTTATGGAAAACCGTGTTCACTTCGTGAAATATTGGCACGCCGGCAATATCATATATTCTCAGGAAAGGGTACTCAACCTGTTCAGACTAAGCGCAAATTTGCTTTTGAGCCGTTGTTTACGGAAAACAATACTTTCCAGAAGTTTCTGCAAACGCGTCCGCAAATGCATGAGACTCCTGCGATCTTTTTAAACTTTGTGCACAACGATGGCACTACGTACGATGGCACTACGTACTAGAAACAGTGTCTTCGTGATGTTCAAGCGAACCGGCCACTTTTAGTTTTCGGAAGGCGCTCGCTTTCCGCTCAGTCCATTCGCTGTAAGTACACGAGTGCATGGCCAGTGAAGTGTTGTCACGCAGTACAGTCAAAGCTGAGTCTAGTCACACAATTACAAACCTAAAAATTGTCACGCACTACTGCAAGGCGCGCGTTAAAACAACCTGATGTGTATCACGCAATATATTACATAAGGTCTTAGTAGCTAGAGGAGATTTACCCCTTAGATTTTAAAGAAGATTGCATAATTCCAGCGACATTCGCTAGAGCTGCTTTTACTGCTTCGCGTTAATGTCGTTAATTCTTCCCTTTTGAATTATTGTATAATATCCGAAGTATGCTTTCAGTGTGTACAGAATTTTATACTTTAAAAAAGCCAAACGTCTTGTGAATGTACGTACTTTCGGTGAAGAATGGACAGTTTTTACAATGAAACTTACGTGATTCATTTTCAAGCGTCCAAAGTTAGGAAGGAAATATAAAACACTGACTCACCCTTTCGTGAAGCGCAGCACATCAGGATATCCAAGCATGCGACAAACCACTCGGGCCGCCTTCCTGTTCCATCCGTGATCACAAACCGCTTTCCACGTACCGTTGTAATTTACCTCGATTCGTCCCTCGTAATTGTGCTTTCCATTGACCAGACGAACCTCTAAGCCGGTCGAAATCTGAAGGCTCGTTAATACGACTCCTAGGAAAATCAAATTCATTTTAATAACAGGGAGAAACTGGTATGGACGCAATTCGACGGCGGGAGGGCCTGTGTTTGATCGATCGACTGAACCCGATAGGAAAAACGCTAAAGCACTGAGCAGTGGATTGAGAAATCGACCAAGTACCACTCAAACCAAATCTACATCCACGAACTTAATCGTGTGACATTTCACGCACATTCACTCCACAGATGAAACCAGATATGCTCCAGAAATCTGTGAGCTGCGTTCATTGAACAGACGGTCCTTGTTTGTTCTTTTCAACACCTTTCGATGCAAGCATATTCTAACAATAATAATTCTTTATGAGGTCATAAAACAGACCCAGGGATAAGTGTTCGGACCTTTTTCTTGTCACTGAGTCAAAACACCTTGTGAAATTATCGAATTATGTCTATTCTTGACCAAATAGGGTAAACAGTGTAAATTCTTTATTCCCTTTCAGACAGTAAATTTTCAAATTTGCCAAAAAACCGAAAAAGGAAAAATTCAATGCCCAGCTCCAGTCTCTTTCTGAATTCTGTACTTCACAAAGCGATCAATTTTTAAATGGTTTGTTATTCAATTTTCCCGGGAAAATATCTGTTTCCAATGCGGTCCGCATCATCGATATGAATTTGGGGAAAATAGTGGTAAACGCTTACGGTTGGCAAGGGAGAACATAATTTACAACAAATACGTCTTAAAAATAATTGGCCGGCGGCAAAGAAGATCAGTCGTCACAAAACCAGTTTATCTGATCTTCCAGATGAAACGTTCTAGATGAGTATTTTGAACGATGAAAATTGACTGACGGCAAGCTCACCGGAAGCGAAGACAGACACTTCAGTAAGGTAATTCTTTTTGTTGTTTTTGGAATGAAATAGGTTGGTTTATATTCTCTCAAGTCTGTCATTAGTGGTTAACGAAGACAGAGAGCTCGTTATGGACTGAAAATAAAATCTCCTGATTAACCTCAAGATAAACAAGGTTAGTGATTATCCAAATTTTCACTGAAAGCCATTCGCCTTGAGGTAACCTTTTTGAATAAATAGGAACGTACTACAGAATATGTTTGCTGCCTAACTTTCTCGGTGTTCTCGTTATCCGAACAGTAGATGAAAACGTTTGTCAGTCGCATGTCCTGAATCGCGGTATTTTAATCATTAAGGCGCATTTTGATCATCTTGCAAGCGAGATCACGGTAAATGAGACAGGTACAAGACATGGACTGAACATTATACTGTCGCCAGGGCATTCATCGCTCTCTTGAGCCGAACCGAAGCTCAGAGGACATACTCCACATCCCATTCTCTTCCAATTCTTTATGTTCCCAGCTATTTACTGTTTGTTTTAGCCTTTAACCTATGCTCGATTTGAAAGAGCTTTGCTCTGCTGGTCTCTTTCTTATAACTGCCACATAATTTACATTTCATGATCACGCGAAAATTAAATTATCCAACACCTGGTTTTTTCGACAAAAATAGCCTTAGCAGGCAGGAGGTCTCATAATCCGCGCGCGGCAGTCAATGCTCATGAATAACTTTTCACAACCCCCCGTTTTCCCGGTAGTCTTCCTTAAGCTTGGCCTTCCGAAGCTACATAACTTGCACGAATCATTGCCTAGTCAGCACTAGTTCGGGATACCAGGTTAGGGCCTGGACGCACTGGGCAAATTTTTGTTTATTTTGCGAAAAAATCTGTCATCAATTCCCTGAGACAAGTGCGTCCAGTGATTTTTAGATCTACTAAATTTTGTCAAGGCTTACGAAACTTCAAAGACGCCGTCGTCCTGCCTCGGAGCAGGACAAATTTTTGTCAGGCGTGAAATCTGACAGATTTGTCAATTTACACGTCATGATTTGAAGGAAAATGTCAATTAAGAAAATTTGATCTCTATTTTTAGTCGGAGTATTTCACTCCGAAGCCCGCCAAAATTAAATTTATATTTGCGCGGCAATCAAACGATAAACATGGAAGATTCGTACCTCGGTATGCTCCATGACGATCCGTTCGCAC